GTCCTGTAGACGGTTACAGTATAAACAAAAATGGCGCAGTTCTACGACGAAATTTGAATAATAAACAGGAAATATGATAATATGGACAAACAGTTCCTCAAGGTTAAATATTGAATAATCCATTAATTGCTAATTTACCGGTTATCTAAGCGACCAGATGCCACGCTAGGAAGAGAAACGTTTCCATATTATTAATAAAATGGAAAGTACACATTCCCTACTGTTTTTGTAATTCAATTAAGCTAAAGAATAGCTAATCAAGATTCGAAACAAGGAAGAGATCTTTTGCAAACTGTCTCATTCGCAAATTAGTGATATCAACGTGTTTTTGTACTTCAAACTATTTAGATGGACCGACCCTCTTTGCAAATACCCCTTCGAAAGCTGTGGGATGATAGACGCACCTGAATCGTTATGTAAATTTTTAATTTCCTTTGGAAAGCACTATCTTCTGCGTGATCTCACTTTTAAGATTTACCTTGACCATATGACACTTTTCTCTACTTTTTCTGTGAGTTAACAAACCCATCGATTTTTGCCGTGGTTTGCATAAACATATAAACCATGTAATAAATGCAGTAAGAGCCGAAAGCTACCTGGTTTTCTTTCCGATATTCTCGTCTACGATCTCATCCAAGCGTTGCAAAAAAAGAATAAATAGAAAAACTATATCCGTTCTGGAGTTATCGTGTTAAGAATGTGGAAAGTAAGATTAAAATTCTGAAATGTTTTAATTATTTTTAGCGCATTTTTGAAAAACAATACGGTATTATATTCGCTTCGGCTGGATGGCTGTTCGGCTGAGATCTTAAGAATTGCAATAGCTAAAGACCAAATGTTCACTAAAAGCTTTCACTATAGTGTAGATATGCAGGCTCTAGTCTATTTTGAGTTAATGACTCGTGAGATCGATAATTTAAGAAAATAATTGCAATATGGAGAAGTAAACATGTGGGGAGAACATTTACTGTCACTCGAAACCTTGCTGTGGCAAAAATTTTTTTTAATTTTCAGCGACGTTACATGGTTTTTTTTAAATGTGCATATGTAGTTGTATTCCCCTGATCGAAAGCTTTTAATAAAAGTTTGAGTTATCGCTTTGACTTTGCTAATAAAATACTGGTCTGCAATACCAAAATGCACTTTAATCATTCATATGCTGATTAACTTCTGGGGTTTTATATAAGATAATTTTTGCGAATTAAATTAAATCAATATGTCCGACCCCTAATGATAGGGTCTAAATGGGATCCTTTTTATTTTTCTTGTAGTTATTGTTATTATCCGAATCACTGCAAGTGGCTAAAACTTTCTATAATTTTACACACAGATTATTGTATTTCTTAAACGCTCGGGTATTTTTAAAGTCTTTCGAGGACATTTCACTAACGCCACGTGGTCAAAATATCCTTAACGTATTATATAACAACCATGAACTACTTAAAAATGTTATATAAAATGCACGCAATTTTAAAACATAATTTAACTGTTTTTTGTTCAAATCCCGACCCTTCATCTATCATATCTTCCATAGTGCTCGATTGTTCTAACTCAATTTTTTATTTTAAAATGACAATAATCACGTGTATCCCAAAATAGAATATACTCATAATAAGATATTGCGGTTAAAATAAAGGGTTAGTATTTTGGGACACTTGCGTCAAGAGTAATTAAGTAAGTGGGGACAGTTTCGCCTTCAAAATGTTTTTCATAATTTTTCACTATTATTAATTTTGTCGTCTAATTTTATCTATTTTACTCGTCTTGGTGTTCCCTCGAGTTGCACACGAATCAGTATATTTCGACTCCTTTAAGTCTTGGAAATCGGAAGATCGAATTTGTCAGCATTGAATGCAAATGATTATTCCACCCTTCAATCGAGGTAACAGCTCCACATTTTATTAGTCGTCTGAAATTCTGATTTATATGGTCAAGTATTGCTGGAACCTCAAGCGAAAGAGGTGCTGAAGATAAACAAGTACCCTTTTTTTATCTTGCAATCGAGCATACACAACTGATACCGTTCGTGTCTCCCTATCGATGCTGTTTAGGTCCACATAAATTGTCTTATAATTAAAAAATCTCTTACTACAACTCTTAAATGTTTCTTCATAGAAAAATATGTTTTCCTTGGCCTTTTGTGTTGCAAAATACTAACATCTCTCCGATTTCACAGTTTTCATCCAGAATTAGAAGTTTTGTTAATTTATCGCACATGACGACTAAATATAATTGTTGCCTGAATATGATCTTGGCATCAGCAGCGAGCATTGTGGGGCTTACTATGGCGGTACGACTGTTTATTGGACATGGTCATTAGTAGTTCGGAGGTTCGGAAGATGGGTATGATACCCATTTACGTTCCACTGGAGAATGAACAGATGGAATAGGTACTTTGTTGGGATTAAGGAATGCAATACCGGGATTGCGAGATCCCGAAATACCGGGATCCCGCAGCATTTTTGCGAGATTAATCCCGCACATAAATGGAGCGGGATCCCGCGGGATTTGCGGGACTGAGGAATTTGTCGACCAAGGGGACGACTCTGTTTACTTTGTTAATGAAACTGATAACGGCGAATTATTTTTTAAATAATTGTTAAACTTTTTCGTTAAAAATAAACTATGATTTTTGAGGCACTTTAGAAGACTTTTGTGCTTTATAGGTAAGGTTTTTTTGAGTTCTAAGTTAGGCCGAAGGTACTTTTTTGTTAAATATTGTGATAATTAGCGATTTATTTTAATACAGAAGTTAACTGCACAGAATTGCTTATTTGTCAATTTATTTAAAGTTTTGCGAGATCCCGCAAATTCCGGGATCCCGCGGGATTAACATCTAACAATCCCGCAAATACCGGGATTGAGATTTTGCTGCGGGATTGCATTCCCTACTAGAAACCAATTTCGAAAGAAAATTCAAAGGGCTGTAACTTTTGAACTAGTAGCCCAATCTTGGAACTGTTTGAAATTATGGATTCTACAGGCCACATTCTATAAGAAAAATTTTTTTCCGGGTCGATCTGAGACAATTTTTTTGAGGGCCTCAAAAAAGGCAGTGTATAACCTTCCTTTTTTACCAAAAATCGACTGCACCAAAATTTCTCGGGAAAACACTTTTTCTTATTAATTTTGGTGCGTAGAATCCAAAACAATTCGTACTTTTTCGATCAGACTTCTCAATCAAAAGTTATAGACTAGAAACCAATTTCGAAAGAAAATTCAAAGGGCTGTAACTTTTGAACTAGTAGCCCAATCTTGGAACTGTTTGAAATTATGGATTCTACAGGCCACATTCTATAAGAAAAATTTTTTTCCGGGTCGATCTGAGACAATTTTTTTTTGAGAGCCTCAAAAAAAGGCAGTGTATGTATAACCTTCCTTTTTTAACAAAAATCTCAGTAAATTAATTAGTAATTAACCTAATTCCGACATTTTCCATAATAAGGCAGCATTCAGTTTATTTCAGAAAACAAATGAGTAACGAAAAACAATCGATGCCCAGTCGGCTGATTTGATTTTTCATTTAATGTAGATAAGTGTGATTTTTTTATGCTCATTATTGCTAGTACATAGTGGGTGTCCGCTTCCAGTGTAAACGAAACAGCCGCTTCATTGGAAATAGTTTAGTTCAAGTAGAGGTCTTCTAAAATAAAAAAACTTGACCTCAATACAATAAGAAGTCTGGTGAACCACTCTGTAAGATACACGCCACGAAGAAGAAAGAATTTTTGATTTTTAAAGTCTGAATTTAATAAAATATCTCCTTGTACCTATACAATTTCCCTCGAAAATAAGCACAAGTAGTTTGCCTATAATGTCTATTGATATCCTTATTGATATTTTCTTATGGATAGTTGTTAAGAGTCGAAATAATTGGAGATATCTAGAAGGGAGCGCAAAGAGGAAAAGGTTAATTACTGGTATTTTGAAGGGTGGGTCGATTTTTATTTTTCAGTTCATTATATTCATAACTACATGTATTAACCACCACTATAGTGACGTATCTGATAAATTATATAAAAGTAGGTAAGTGTGGCCATCTGAACTAGACTTACGAGTTTGTTAAATGTTGCTTGTTACACAAATGCATACAGCGAATAGTATCAAACTGACTTCAAGTGAATGACGTAATATGAAATGTTCACATAATTTTTTTCCATACCAAACTAAGAACTAGAGTACTCCAAGGGCAATTTTCGCCCTTTTTGTAAAATGTTTTGAGTGTTTTATCCTATTCTCCTATATTTTGATTATTGGACCATATAGAAAGTAACCACCCCCAATATTTTTTGAACAATCGAATTATTTTGGGACGTCTTTCGCTAACTTAATTCAAGTGAATTTTTGATAAAAAAAAGCGTTAATTTGACTACGAGTATGCGCGTTATTTACCGAAGTTTACTGTTGATGCCTAATTTGAGGATTAAATTACAAATTAAATAACAAAATAAATTAATGGTCGTCGTCATTAGATAAAGTAAATGATAAAATTAAAAACTTTGGCCAATGTATTATTTACAAAATAAAAGATAATATTATACATTATACTCAAACGATTCATATTTGTATAATACTTGGATTTTGATAGTTGATATTCTCTTCCCGATATGGGATTTGTTATAGCGTATTATAACTTAGGGGATGGGATATTATAACAAATATGCATGGCCAACTGACAGCAATGGTAAATTATTGTTAGCGTTTATTCCTTTTAAAGATGAACGTAATGAATATGAGTCCGTTATGTGAATATGTATAATTAGTAATAAGTATTTAATAAACTCACATTAATCACTATAATTAGCAACCAACATCTCTTTTAACTACGTACTTTAAAATCTTATACAAACGTGGGAGAGCCAAGTTGATTAGCAAATGTGTTCTAATTTCGAGAAGTTTACACAAGAATTATTTACCGTCAAAATTAAGTGGAATTGTAACCACTTTCGGTGGTATGTGTACTCATATGATGGTGCTAATGTCTTCTCTTCTATTTTCAGAGCATGGACGCTGACAGCAGTTATGGGGGCAGTGACACAGCTCAAGATTCAACCTTAGGTCATGACAACAATTCCTTAGAAACTTCAAATACTCATGATGAAGTAGACAAATCCGTGATGTCTTCGAGTGAAGGGAATACCTACTTCAAAAATGAAGTAACCTTACCTATTAACTACAAGGAAGGCGAAGAAAAAACGTCATTACCTCACTACTTATCGACTGCCAAATTAAATATAGAAGAAAGTGTCGACAATAATCACCAATTAGACGAATTAAGTAAGAACTACTCTAGCACACATAACTTAAATGCGGAAAGTCCGAAGTCGAGAAGGTCCGCCGGTATCGATAATCCGGCATATGAGGAAGACGGCAAAGTACATGCACCATCGAGCAATGGTGCCCTAAAATCGACATTCGACGAAAACAAAACTTACACGAATGGCGATTTAAATACGTCCCCAACTTTGGCATTCTCCTCCCCAAATAAGGGCGAAGAACAAATGGCGGAAGCTGTGAATTTAGAATTAATCAATTTGAAACCAGTCGGTAAAGATGTGGTTGGTGGATACGGTGGCACCAACGGCATCAATGACATTCCAATTAAGAAGGAAACGGAAGTCGAAATCGGCAATCCTTACGATGAGTACTTCGTTCCGGTTAACGAGCATCGTAAATACATGAGGTACGTTGAAATTTTTTGCCTTTTTTCGGCGCTTCAATTTGGAGATTTTCGTCGCCACTAATTCATATAGCGCTACACCATTCGTCATATATAGATCGTTAGTAGGCTACCAAAAAAAGAGCCAAATTGCGCAATCCACACACGTTTGGAATTTATTATAGACGTCACGTAAGCCCATGTATGAAAGTGACATTGTTAAAAGAACCTTACCGTAAAAACTTGCATATTTATTTTCTTGTTTTATTATTGTGTTAGTGGAAGAAGTAAAACTCAACCGGTTTTATTTTTACACATCGCGGGGTCGGTGGTACACATTTACCTTTATGTTTTGCTGCTATTTTATGTGTCGGGATGGTGCGAGCTTTTGCAATGATTTTGGCCATTGAGAGAATTGGGCGAAAATCACGAAAACGGTTTTTCACTGCACGTTCCAGTCAAATTTAGACTTTAGACTTCATTAATTCGTATTGTTTGAACAATTCATCAATTAGTCATGAAATATACCTACGCAAAAACAGGATAATGTAAATCTTCGAAATTATATAAGTGCCTAACTCATTTTCATTTTGATAGGTTATTTTGTTCCCCTGTTTTATTTTAGTAACGCTAACGCCTAAGGGTTCCCTATCTATGCTCTAATGATTTTTCCTCTTTTATTTTTATACAAAACATTGGCAAAGTTTGCGATATTTTTAGCAAACTGAAAGATGCTTAGTTTGGACATGATCCAGAGGGCACGATTATGGTATGCGAGTCTGACTAGTGCGAATCATAAAAATTTCAAAAACCCGTACAAAGGCGAAGATGGGATGGATGGTTAACTTGACAGCAGAATAGCACAGGACTTCCTTGTTTCTAATTAAAGTTATGTAACCCATACTATGACCTTCTGTTGCGTTTTCACTAAAATTCTTAATTTTTAAGAGAGTGTCCTGTCTTGTATTCAAAAGACGATATTTGGTTTAAAATAATTACCGAAATGCCTCAATTAAGTGCAGTAAAGCATGATAAGTACGAAATTTAAATAATAATCACAGCTGTTAATTTGCTTATTATTCATGTTTTAATTACTATAATAATAATAAATCCAAAACGATTTTCCACAATTTTATTAGATTGTACAAGTTTGACGTTATAAATAAAATATAAATAATAAAGGCGTCTATTGTCTCTAAAACCAAAACCCTCTCTTGAAAATTGAATGATAGGGTAGTTTACTCAGGAAGTAGTAGAAAAAAATTAAAAATTAATGTCAACCTAACGGGTTAGTTTTCTTCTGAAATAAAGAATTATTTAGTAAATAAACTTAGGTGAAAAACGAAAATTGAAGGAGTTCAAACTTTAAATCCTGAATTCAGATCGCAGTGGTACTTGAAACGCGTAACCCTCTCACTGGAACCTAGGTTTAAGTTTTTTGGAAAGTTTATAGTTTTATGTGAGAAATCCTGCATGAGTGTAGGTCTGCCCATACCACTTTTCAAATAATTTTAAAATGTTGCCAAACTTGAAGAAGGGGTACCAACATTTTACGCAACTCAAATCCGATTGGCATATGCATAAAAATGTCCTTAAAAATTGGGAAGAGGAAGAATATGCCAGTCATATTAGGTAAAAATACCCATTTACCTCGAAAGAATTCCCTAAAAAACTGTCTTGAATGAGGTAAAGCAATCTTTATGATAGCACGCTTCAGCAGCTATTAAATCGCTTAATGTGTATATTCGTCGTTTTATATCATTCCCCCCTTGATCTTTGCGCTCATCACATACCACCGATCGTCTAGTCTTTGGTAGCTTGGTGTTTGCCTGCTCAATATATGTTCTGCACACAATACACAATGCATTTTAAAATAGAACGGAGCAACGTTACTTCGTAAAGTAGCTGGAAGTGCTGGAACATAATCTCCCTCTGCAAGTTCCCGCTTTCGTGATTTGATATTTTGCTTTGCAGTGTACTTCTTTCGGCAATTAATGTGGACTGTAATTTGCGTACTTGATGACAACAGTATATGAATTCCGTCAGTTACTAGTACAGTACAAATTCAAAGCATCCCATTTTAGGGAATTATTTCTAGGTACCATCCTAATATGACCGGTGAAGGGGGGAACTCATTCTCCACACTCTGAATTCAAACAGAACGTAGGAGCCTTTGTCTAGAATTCAAACTTTATTGTTTGGAATTAGAATTCAGAATCAGGAGTCTGTATCGAGCCTCAAAGTGTAAATACAACATAAAATCTACATGTGCTCCTCCCACGCCTAAAATGTAAAGGCGAAATCTTCTAGTTCTGCACATGAAAATGTAGCCTAACCCAAGTTGAAAGATTATAAAATGTCCGTTTTTAACGTATCCAACTAGGATGGAAAGGAAATTGATGTCTCGAATCTCGAAATTTAATGAAAATCTTATTCTCATTTAAATAATTTCATACATTCAAATCGGTAGCATTTGTACATAATTGAAGAACACGATTTAGAACCATTCTTTCGCCTTGATCTAGTTTGTCAACTATGAATCACGGATCACAAACAAATTTGGCAATGCGAACTAAATTGTTACCAAGCGCAAATTCTCATGACATGCAGATCTATATATTAATTGCAGATGAATTCTTATACCTACACGGAAATTCTACCATTTTAAGTGTGTACACAATGCCGCCGATTGCGAAAGTGTAAAATTGTATGATTTAATTTCAGCAAGTATTACTTTCACTAATTCGTCGCTGATTTTTGTTGCTGTTCAGAAGTGTTTAAATATTTATGGGCTTGTAGGCGTCTTTTACACACCTTACATTCAAATTTGAATTAACAGTGAAAGGATTTTTCTCAATATGTAAATATAGACAAATATTTCTTTAGTGAGTTTACCTGTCGTTCGTTTGAACAAATTTTAACCTGCACTTTGGTGAACTGACGGAAGACTTGCAAATTGGCAAGCTAAAATAAAGTCATCGTTATACCAGAAGGTGACGGTCGTTCAAAGATACGACAGTTGACTCATCGCATAACCCTGGCCAAAGTTGTTTCTCTGATAGAGTCGTAGGTTTAAAGTGACGGAGAAACCTTTTACTTAACATATTGTTTAAAAAAGATTAAAAATAACACTGACTTCCACTCGTAGTCGAATCCGAAAAGGGCGAAACAGCGTAACGTTCGCAGAGAATGTGGCTACTGCTGGAGTCGACGATTCCGGATTATCCGTTACAATTCCAGAACGTGGAATACTAGAATACCCCGAATGGCTTACAGCACTCAAACCACGGTACCAGCATTTATTCATATCACCACCATACTGCTACGAAATAATTAAAAAACAGTAGTAATACGCTGTCAAACGGGTGCCGATTAGAGTAGATGATGGGATTTTTAAAAACCTGCTAAATCGCATGTTCATTATAAATATATCCATAACCATTATTTTTTTTGGGTGCACAATTCACATTTTGGCAAAACCAATGGTTTGGGCTGTGGTGGTATGAATTGGTGTTGGTCATAACTCGCTCGTGGCTTTCCAAGTCGGCCTACTATAAACTTTGCTTGTTTTGCAGGGGTGAAAAGCTCTACGTCACAAAGGATAAGCGAGATAAAAAGAAGAGGAATAAGTGCTTGTGTTGGAGTATATGTCTAGTCTTTGTAGCAGCGGCTGTTATTGTAGGAATTTTAGCGGCAGGTTAGTAGCGCTTACTTTAAAAACGTTGTCTGGCATTTGCCTACTTTCCAACGTTTTGCTGTTTATGTCTCAGCAAATTGGGAGTAACCAGAAAAAATCGTTCGTTGCAAATTCCTACTCGAACTAACTTTATTACTCTATGACCAAAAAGTCTCCAGTATTCGCAACCTTATAAGGTGTAAAACGCCCGAAGACTTTTTTTGAGTTTATCTTTGAAGTTATGACTTTAATTTCTGGTAGGTACTTAATTTCTTTGGATACTTTTAGTAGGCCCATTGCGTTTTAATTCCCAAATAAGATAAAATACCAACTTAAACAGTATGGAAGCCTTTCCAACGATGAAAACTTGAAGTAACAGCGGTGTTTCTTTTGCTTTGTGACTACTTCACATCAGAATGTCTAAAATGCATTAGAAATGCGAATATTTATTTCTGGTTACTTGTCCAATTACAACGGCTGTAGGTATCAAGGTATTGCATCAACTGAAATTTTATTGCATCTCAAACTGCAAGGCCATAGTTGAATTGGAATTGTTTCCGCATTTCTTACGTACCTTGTGAATAGAATAATCTCACTATTTAAAATTGTAGGGACACTTTTTTAATTTGGATTTTGTTCTAAATTATTGTTACAGTAACAAACACTGTAACAGAAACCCCAAGCACCACAATGCAATATTAACAAAACATACGCGACAGCAAATATGTCCTCATCAACGAATTTATGATGGTATCTTGGTGTTTTTTTTTTCATTTTTTGTAACGGTCACAAGGGTTCGAGTACTAAATTTCTAGATCTCTTCTTCAAGCATTAACAGTATAGGTTACAATTTTGTCGGAACTTTCAGTGGGAATTATTGGTAACCAAGAGGCTCAACCTGTCCAGGGAGCGCGACAGTTTAGTGACACTCCCGAGACAGAGAAGACGAAAACTAAGTCAGCGGGGGGTTTGTTTGGTGTCGCAGATACGCCCGAAGAGTCGCCACCGCCTAGTTCTAGTAGTTACCCTCCCACGCCACAACCGGCGATTATTACAATGGGAAATCTACCCCCAACGACTGATACCTCAAGAATAGAAGGTAAATATAATTTGTTGCATAGATAAGTACCTGAATGAATCACTGTTTTTACAGTTCCTAGAGCGTTAGAATCACAAGTTATTATAGACAATTTGGAATTTTCGGATGAACTGGCGCACAAGAATAGCTCAGAATTTCGAAACCTGGCCGAAAGTGTTGAAAAGCAATTAATGAGAGCTTTGTTTTCCGAAGATGAAATCGCGAGTGGAAAGGCTAAGATTCAGCTGAAAGTTATGGAATTTATGTAAGTTCCCAATGCTGGTAGCAACAGAAAGTATAACAACTCTTATTTCTTAGGCCTGGAAGTGTGGTCGTCAAGTATCGCATTTCTTGGATTTTTACAGACGAAAACGATGCAACGGATCCTGTCGACAAAGAATCCCTCAATAGAAAACTGACGAATACGCTTAACAGAAACTTCGGGTACTTAGATGAATATCATATACCAGAATCAACTATTGCTACTGAAAAAATTATTAACATGTGCCAAATTGATAATAATGGCTGTGAACATACGTGCTCATTCGATTACGAAAACAATGATTTTAAATGTGAATGTCCCTTCAACATGCAACTAAACACTAATGAAAAAACGTGCGTTAACATTCCATTACCAGAACCTTCGTCGAGTACCGAAGCTGAAAGTATGACAGATTTTGAATTCGAGCCCTCTCACGTGCATCACCATGGACAAGGTCGTTCTAATGACGCAGATATTTATACCGAACCTGAACCTTGGCCTACAACTCGACCGACGGAGACTCACATTTATACAACTTCCCCAAAACATGACATGGTGGAGCATGAACCTGATGAAAATCATACGCCAAAGCCGGAACCGGAACCAGAACCTTCAACGCAATATCACCTGGACACCCATACACAAACTATCCCGCATGAGTATGGTATCACAATTAAACCGGAACCTGAACCAGAACCTAGCACACAACGTCACCTTGAAGCCTATACGCATACTGTTCCACAGGAACATGGTATCAGTGCCGAACCGGAACCTACAGTCAAACCGGAACCAGAACCCAGCACGACACATCACTGGGAAACTTATACGCGTATTATTTCTCATGATCATGGTATCAGTGCCCAGCCGGAAACTACTGTCAAACCGGAATCTGAACCAGAACCCAGCACGCCGCATCATATTGGTATCAGTGCCGATCCGGAACCCGAACCAGAACCCACCACTCACCATCGCCTGGAAGACTATACACATACTGTACCGCATGACCATGACATCAGTGCCGAACCGGAAACTACAATCATACCGCAGCTTGGACCCGAATCTAGCACGCAACATCACCTGCATAGTGCCAGCGCAGATGCTGAACCTACAGTCAAACCGGAACCTGAACCAGAACCCACCACTCGTCATCACGTTGACGACCACACACATACTATTCCGCATGATCATGGTATCAGTGCCGAACCGGAATCTACTATCAAACCGGAACCTGAACCGGAACCCGTATCTACTACGCAACATCACATGCATAGTGTCAGCGCAGACGCTGAACCTACAGTCAAACCAGAACCTAATGTGAACGACGATTCAGAATTACATGCATACCATACTCTCAAAACCGAGTTAGAGCACACAATGCTTCCACCCACCAGCCAGGCACCCAATACAGAACACATGCATGACCATCAAAATACTGAAGCTCATCCAGAAACAGAACCTACTCAACCCACAGTGAAACCAGAACCTGAACCCACTACCCACTCAAATGTGCCATCTCATGTACATGAAATTGATCACGTGTCCGAGCACAAAACTGAACCCAACGTACGAGAAGAACAGCATATCCCTGTATATATGATCTCTGAACACGAACCTACAGAAAAACATGAACCGGACAGTACCTCTCATCAATACGAAATCTATGTAACTCGCGATACAACAGTAAAACCAGATGAATCTGAATCGCACACTAGTAAGAGTGAGGATCATAACTCATCGCACGAAAGCAAAATGGATTTAGAACATGGTGTCGGTCATATATACTTAGACAATACATCGAGTTCGACTTCCGAGCGGTCTACTATTTCTGATCAACCGAAACCTGTGATTCCAGTGGAACCAGATTTAGATCAACCAGAAGCGGAGACAGATATTAGTACTATTTCAAAAACATCATCTCCATCTACTACAAGCCTAAATGATGAAGTAATCGACAGTGTTCAGCAAACAACGGATAGACATACACAACCTGTTGAACAGGTCACAGAATCAAGTTTACAACACAATGCCAACCAAGCACAACTCACTACTACATCACCGGAACCAACGATAGCAACAGTGGAGGGTACAACACCAACGATAAAAAGTGCTGACGATATGAATAGTACGCCCAAAGACATGAGTAAGCTTCATCTGTCTGAAATTGCTCCAGAAGGTACTACAGATTTTACAATGACCACTACAATGAAAATTGAGTCAAATACAACACAACGTGTAAGAGAAGAAACAACAATTATTCCAGATGTAATCGATTCAAAGTCGACTACAACCCACGTATCTCCAATCAGCGAAAACATGCAAATGAGCAATGAAGAGGTCTCAAGCACCAAAATGGATGACGGCAATATGCGTAATGCAATGACACGAGAAGGTAAATTATCGGATGTTTCTCTTGAAACCACAACTCATGCAATGACGACTTTAAAACAAAATGATGCAGACAGTAAATCAGTGATGCTTGACATGAAAACTATGCCTGGGAAATATGACAGCATGGAACAAGAAGCAAACGACACAAGTCAGCCATTAACACATAGTAATGGTGGAAATGTAATGGAAACGACAACTGAGAGAGTTACTGAAAGCTACGTATTTATTCCAGTCGCAATTGTTAATCATGCTCACTCCGCAAGTACAGAGCATACAAGTAATGGATCAACAACAGAAAGAGTAATGGATATGTTCAGCTCTGATTCAACAGAGGTTGCTCATAATTATGACAATATGTCTCCGTTTTTACCAGACATTGAGAATGATACTCTGATCAACAACCTACACTCTGATGTTGATGGGTTTACAGAGCCGTCATATCATGTTAAAGAAACGGAAATGTACATGTCCTCGGAAAATCCTCCACGTATGGATAAGGACGAAATGAACGAGACTAACCCTCGGGATCGTTATCCGGTGGACGCCGTTCTCTCAGTGCTACCACTTGATGACAATGATACAGTGAATTCTAATGAAATTGTAAATAAAATCGAGAGTCTACCAACTAAACAAATAAAAATTGAAAATAAAACTGAAACTGTAATACCAGAAGCGACAACTAAAACTGTCGTCAAGCATAAGGAAGTTACACTTAGTCCAGATATTATAAATAACGTACACAGTAATAATTATTTTTTGAGATTACAAACTAGCACCGAAGCAGAACATAGCACAGAACCTATACCAAGAAAAGAGGCAAGTGAAAGTATTACCGAAAACAATATAAGCACAGAGGATTTAATTGCTCAAGAAACTACTACGAATAAACTACAAGAAATAAACAATGCCACAACTGTCCTTGTTGAAACATTGCCGCCTGCGACTGAAAAGGTGTATGTGATAGACGATAGAATGGCAAACGATTTTGAAATTATGCCCACCACGCAAACTCACATGGACAATGTTTCAACTGAAGCGCATCAATATGAGGTGCATGAAAATTTGTCAGAGGATGTAACCACGATTAGAAATATTATCAGACTGAGCACAACTGAGGCAACAACTCCATCTCTGTTGCAAGTTTCCAACAGTCCCCTCCCAGTTATACCTCTCTCCGAAGAGGAGTTGAACTCAAAGGAAGAGAAGAGAGGTGATTTGAGGTCCGTAGAGAACATTTATGATCCCAGGGAGTTACTAAACGATATCGCCGACGAAGATAAATTTATTTTGAGTGAGAAAAAGGAAAAATCTAACGATGATGCTATGGCAACCGATCGTACGATTGTCACGTCGTCGACTTTCCATAAAGAGGTTGTGGATGAGGCGGATCACTTTTACTTACAAAATATTAAAAACGCGACAACAGCGTCGGATGTTAAACCTGTAACAGAAGGCTTCACTATCAGTCACTTTTCGAGGTGCTCCAGTGGACAATTTCAGTGCGCAAACGGCACCTCTATCATCGGTAGCACCTACTGTATTTCGGAGAATGATCGGTGTGATTCCGTCGATGACTGTACTGATGCATCTGATGAGATTGGGTGCGCTGAAGAGCAGTGTCTTCAAAATTTCCAGGTAAGTTCACGGTGTATAGTCGGATGTGGTTATTTACAGTTGATTTTCAGTGCCAAAACGGTCAATGTTTAAAAAGAATGCTTGTGTGTAATGGAATTTCTGACTGTACAGATGGAAGCGATGAACTGAACTGCGGTATGTGTCCAAAACTAAATCTTTGCTGAGGACCTCAACTTTCTTCGTTTTAGAATCTTGGAAATGCCGATTTGATGAATTCTCGTGCGGTGAAAGTAATCGCTGTATACCGCTTTCAATGAGATGTGATGGACGGAAAGATTGTCCTAAAGGAGATGACGAACACAGTTGTTACTCGCAACCATGTAAAAATGACGAATATAGTTGCAATAATAAGGACACCTGCATTCCGGCCAGCTGGAGGTGTGATGGTGAAAAAGACTGCATGGAAGGCGATGATGAAAATTTATGTGGTATGTGAAATTAAATCACTTGCTAAGTGCGTGTGACAAAACCTGTTTTTTTAGAGTGTGCATTTGATCAATTCAAATGCGTAACAGGCGGAGGCTGCATAGCGAAAGATCAGATATGCGACGGACTTGAACAGTGTGCCGATTCTTCTGATGAATGGGATTGCATCCGGCTGCATGAGAACATGGAACAGGCCAATTACTTAGAGGTGCGTATTTTTTATGGGCTAAATGCCAAATACAATATATACAATACATTTTATAGGCACGTCACAATATGACGTGGCTGCAAGTATGCAGTTCACATTGGAATTCTTCCTTCTCGGATATGGCGTGTCAAAGCTTAGGATTTGCGGGATCCGCATCTACAGAGTTTATTAAGTTGAAGGAGAATGCCACGCTCGACGCATATTACAAATTAAAGGAGTCACAATTTGATGCTTCACTGCTAGCTTGGTTAGAAAAAACGGATGATTGCGACTCTGTTGTATCACTAACTTGTCTGGATTACGGTAATTATTCGTAGGGAGAATTATAGTAAGTACTCTACACATTCATAATTATAGAGTGTGGAAGTAAAACATCATCAGACGTACCATCTGCGAGAATAATAGGAGGTAACAGAGCAAGCGAAACTCAATGGCCAGGTGTAGTTCTCCTTTACAACAAAAAGCACCACATATACTGCACCTCAACAGTGATTGCGCCTAGCTGGGTCCTTGCCAGCTTTTCTTGCATGTTTTCTGCAAAATATCTACCTGGCGACGCGGATGGGTGGACTTTATATTCAGGTGGCACAAACTTCTCTGCCACCATGCACAGTAGTGCACAACTTCGGTCTGTACGCAGAATAATCCCTCACCCACAGGTCAGTGTTCGCCAGTTTAATGATGATTTATAATTCATATTGTTGCAGGCCAAATACTCTGAAATTGTGTACAGCAACGACATTGTATTGGTACAACTTGATATGCCTCTCCATTTAGGTCCAAATATCAGTGCTATCTGTTTGCCAAACGCTGAAATTGAACCTCGCCAACTTTGTGTTACGGCGGGATGGGGTGTGAAAACACCTGGAGGTAGCATCTAATGTATACGAATCATGTACCTACTCTATTATATGATTTACAGAGTCCAACAGACAAGAGTATCTCCACTATTTACCAGTTCCTACACTTGAAACCGCACAGTGCAACTCAAGTGCTCATTATAATGGACGATTAACCACGGATAAAATCTGCGCGGGCTATACGGACTCGGATAGAACTCCGTGTTATGTAAATATTTCCGTAAAACCATCTATTTTGCGGTAACACGACTATCTTTCAGAACGACGAAGGTGCACCGCTAATGTGCTTCTCAGAAATTTCAAATACGTGGGAATTGCAGGGTCTGTTATCAAACCACGCCAACTGTGGAAGAAATCGACATCCCGCGTTGTATACTTCCATTAACCACGACATAAGGGGGTGGATTACGAATACCACCGGCATACGTTTAACGATGAACGAAAGGGCGGCGTCAAACTAAGTGATGGCAAAAAAATGTCCTGACTTTTACCTAGACTTTTAACGACTGGATTGATAATTTTATTTTTTAGTTTTTAGTACTGTATTTAGTAGGGCCCTACCCTTATCTACCTACTTTATCGAGTGTTGAGAGTTTGAAATGTTGTGTAAATAGTGTATATGTTGATTCTTGCTAATTGTTAGATAGGTAGTTAAGTTTTAATTTTTACAAATTATTTTAATTGCATATGTACATGTTTGCCTAATTGTTTAGTGATATAATGATGCAATTATATAGTTACTTATAATGTCTAACTTTGTATTAAATCCGTCCAAGCTCAATGTATTACTTAACTATAACTTTCTATTTAACTAGTCACATTGTTATTGTGCCAATAGCATGCTAGGTGACGGTTTCGTTTTTGTACATAAAATTTAATGTATCTTAATGTACGTAACTTTATTATATTATTAAGTATTATTTTTAAATAAAAAACAAACTAATGATTTTGTTGTCATTTTCATCGTTTAAATTCGTTAAAAATTATTGTTACTTTAAAGTTATATGATATTTCAAACCAAGGTAAGTTAAATATAGTTATAGCCTAATGTGTTAAATGAACGTTTGAAAAAGGTCAAATGAAAATAGACTTCTAGAGTAACGGATGCCCAGTGCTAATAAATTGATGGTTGCAGAATTTGTGCGGAGCATTATATGCCCTTACCATTGAATAAAAAATTAAGCCCTTATGGTTAAATTTGATATAAGTATGTATGTGATATTGACTATTAAGATTTAACAGAATTACAGGATATAATTAGGAATTAAGGGTCTAATGAAAAACTAGTCTGGTTGACTGCATTTTCTTTATTCAAACTGGTGTACAGTAGAAAATATCATTGAAGAAGTACTTATTCAATGACAATATTTAATCATTATAATAGGTATGTAAATAAATCCAAATTTCAGAAGTGAAATGTGTGGGGTTATTGGCCACCAAGATTAAGGCGTCTAAAAAGGAGTTACGCATGCAACACATATACAATTCAGCTGAAATTAATTTTTTCTTTCGAATATTTTATTACCTTTCATGATGGAATGCATAGAACAAATTCTATCTATCTAGAGTACCTACGCATTTTGCTAATCATATAATCTCCAAAAAAACGCGAATTAAAAAAGTTTCCCCGATGGGTGCCGTTTTGAAAAGACCACCGAAAGTTGTATACTTAAAGATTCGAGCAACATATTTTAAGTTTAGTTACATATTCATTCAAATTTTTTAAAAATGACGAAATTTTAGCCATATTGTTTAACGTGTTGTGTATCATAAGTCTTTTTATAGTGCTTAATCTCAAGTGTTTCCAGAGCACACCACGAGGAGGTTACCGGCCACATAGTGCTCCATTCTTTCTGGATAAAATCTATACAGACAGACGCATACTTACCATGAGAAATTTCGGATGAAAAAACTTTTTTTTATGCAAAATAGAAATAGTTTAGAAACTGTAGGTAGTATACGTACGTACAAGAAATATCCTAATTTCACAACTTAACTTAAAGTGTCAATATCTATATAAAAGGGAGTGTGAGGAAGGTACTTACAAGGGGACAAATATAGCATGCTACTACCTTCTTATAGTCCAATTATTTATTAAGCTATTTCGGTTTAAAAAATGCGCTTTATCTGAATAAGCGTTTTGCACATTTTTTACTAGTTTTCAATACCTATGTCGCTGGTGCCGCCAGAAAAAAATGTAGGGAAGGTCAAAAACTTTGTCAATTTACTACTCTAGAAAAATGATTTTAAATACTTAAACGTAAAATTTTCCATTCCCATCCCTCGCAACCGATATTGTAAAATTTAAGAATTTTGACGAATTTGTTTTATCTGAAGTTATAAATCCAGGGCCCGGGGGGGTCGGCGGACACTCCCTGACCCCTTTGCTGGCCTGGCCTAAATTTAAGAATACTATATTTACAACAATGTCCGAATCTTAAAAACTGCACACGCATTAACTTCCTTATCTCTTACTCTGCTGCGCTCATACCAGATCTCCGCCGAATATAGTACAGCTTTCGGCAAAATTCATTTAGACATAGTTCCAAAAGTAACTTTTTTCGTATATTTGTACACATAAGTTACTGTAAAACGTAACTAACTTACTATAACCAGTATATGTCGTCTGTGCTATAACCAAAGAGTAACCACAATATGGGTACTCTTTGCTATAGGTACTTAATTTATTCTGATCTATAATCCATAATAAATAATAATCTATACCAAACTATTATACCTATCTTCCTGTCTACAACCTTCCTCTTTTTAAGTATGAAGTATTCAAATGCCGATAAGAAGTTTTTAGAGTTTTTAGATTGTAAAATCAAGATTTGAAATTTCCGCAGAAACCCAAAAATCAAAGTTAGCATCTCAAAATATACCTTCATCGTTAAATTAATCGGATTAAACACACTTTCAAAACTCGTCCATGTAAATTGAGTATGTACATATTTTTTATACTGTCGTATAAAGTACTCATTAATTAATTGTAATCCGAAACAGTACACATTTTGGAACCAAACACGTAGTAATGTTTTCTGGCTGTTATTCCTTGCCTCGAACAATCGAACAAAAAAAAGGGTAACAGGTAGCTCTCATAAGTTGCGCAAATAAGTGTCACACTTAATTGACGAATTGTTAATCCTTTTTGTCCCTAACATATTTTTGTACTTCAAATGTACAAAATAACATAAGCGTCCACTTTGTTGTTTTTAATATGTAATTAAATGGTAATACATCCAAATTCAGAGCAGACAATTTTTTGCTAGGGAACCGTGTAGTGCAGGGGTTAAGAGCCAAAATAGGTTTCAACCTTGCATTTTGTGATAACTTTATGAAACTTTCAGAGGATGTTCTAGACACCCTAAGGTTCAATTTCAGCTATGCCGCCACCCCCGCATCCCCCGGACGGCACTTGCTATAGCGGGTTTCTTAAGCGCAAGGTAGCATTTCAATACCCGCCCATAAAATGGGTCAAAAATGTATGTCCAGGGTTTGTTTTGTATTTTCTTACATCTAGGAAGGGTTGAAGGGAATTTGTCAAATACCCAGGGAGAATTTATTTAGGGTATTTTACGTGGTTTGCCTATTTTTAAGGCGCTTTTAACAGTGCGGACTAGGGAATGCAATCCCGCAGCAAAATCTCAATCCCGGTATTTGCGGGATTGTTAGATGTTAATCCCGCGGGATCCCGGTATTTGCGGGATCTCGCAAAACTTTAAATAAATTGGCAAATAAGCAATTCTGTGCGGTTAACTTCTGTATTAAAATAAATCGCTAATTATCACAATATTTAACAAAAATATTCCTTCGGCCTAATTTAGAACTCAAAAAAACCTTACCTGTAAAGCACAAAAGGTCTTCTATAGTGCCTCAAAAATCATAGTACATTTTTAACGAAAAAAGTTTAACAATTATTTAAAAAATAATTCGCCGTTATCAGTTTCATTAACAAAGTAAACAAAGTCGCCCCCTTGGTCGACAAATTCCTCAGTCCCGCAAATCCCTCGATTTATGTGCGGGATTAATCTCGCAAAAATGCTGCGGGATCCCGGTATTTCGGGATCCCGGTATTGCATTGCCTAGTTTCTAGTCTATAACTTTTGATTGAGAAGTCTGATCGAAAAAGTACGAATTGTTTTGGATTCTACGCACCAAAATTAATAAGAAAAAGTGTTTTCACGAGAAGTTTTGGTGCAGTCGATTTTTGGTAAAAAAAGGAAGGTTATACACTGCCTTTTTTTGAGCCCCGAAAAAAATTGTCTCAGATCGACCCGGAAAAAAATTTTTCTTATAGAATGTGGCCTGTAGAATCCATAATTTCAAACAGTTCCAAGATTGGGCTACTAGTCCAAAAGTTACAGCCCTTTGAATTTTCTTTCGAAATTGGTTTCTAGTAGGGAATGCAATCCCGCAGCAAAATCTCAATCCCGGTATTTGCGGGAATGTTAGATGTTAATCCCGCGGGATCCCGGAATTTGCGGGATCTCGCAAAACTTTAAATAAATTGGCAAATAAGCAATTCTGTGCGGTTAACTTCTGTATTAAAATAAATCGCTAATTATCACAATATTTAACAAAAAAGTACCTTCGGCCTAACTTAGAACTCAAAAAAACCTTACCTGTAAAGCACAAAAAGTCTTCTAAAGTGCCTCAAAAATCATAGTACATTTTTAACGAAAAAAGTTTAACAATATTATAAAATAATTCGCCGTTATCAGTTTCATTAACAAAGTACACAGAGTCGTCCCCTTGGTCGACAAATTCCTCAGTCCCGCAAATCCCGCGGGATCCCGCTCCATTTATGTGCGGGATTAATCTCGCAAAAATGCTGCGGGATCCCGGTATTTCGGGATCCCGCAATCCCGGTATTGCATTCTCTAGTGCGGACAGTAAAATCGTGACGGAGACCTCTTTTGGCTGCTCTATTGAATATTATACTATGCTTTAAAGTATTTATTGAGACATTACAATGCTCAAAAGGAAAGTTAACAATATCTACGGCACTAAAATTATTGAGTCCTATCTTGAGAACACTCGCCTCCGCAGTCGCACAATTCGGTGCAGGTCACATCGGACTTGACAAAGCTGCATCTTTGTGTGCAACCTTTCTTACATCCACATTTTACTAAGATTACAAAAGCTTCTGGAACTGGAGGTTTTAAAATCCAGACAGGCTCCCATTCTTGATCTTCACTCGAGTTTCTCCAACCCCAATCACATGGATCCGGAAGTTGCTGTTGCGCCAGGAGGCAATGTCCCCATACATGTCCTGCGAATGTATGTAGATTAAGTTTGTTTGTTGAATATGGATTCAATTGTAAATTCATCTATTCGCCTACTTACCGCCTCTCTTAAGAAAGGTTGCACACAAAGATGCAGCTGTGCCAAGTCCGACATGCCCTGCACCGAATTGTGCGACTGCGGAGGCGAGTGTTCTCAAGATAGGGTTCAATAATTTTAGTGCCGTAGTTATCGTTAACTTTCCTTTCAGCATTGTAAAGTCTCAATAAATACTTTAGAGCATAGTTAACTATATAATATTCAATAGAGCAGCCAAAAGAGGTCTTCGTCACGATTTTACTGCCCGCACTGTTAAAAGCGCTTTAAAAATAGGTAAACCACGAAAAATACCCTACATAAATTCTCCCTGAGTATTTGACAATTCCCTTCAACCTTCCTAAATGTAAGAAAGTACAAAACAAACCCTGGATATACATTTTTGACCCATTTTATGGGCGGGTATTGAAATGCTACCTTACACTTAAGAAACCCGCTATATCAAGTGCCGTCCGGGGATGCGGGGGTGGCGGCATAGCTGAAATTGAACCTTAGGGTGTCTAGAACATCCTCTGAAAGTTTCACAAAGTTATCACAAAATGCAAGGTTGAAACCTATAACCCCCGCACTAGTGGAACCAGAAACCTTGAACCCTTTCGCAAATCGAACGTTATGTTAGTTGCCTATGCTATGCGAGGGCCCTTTGGTCAAAACATTATACACTGAAGACCGAACAAAACATTTTAAGTGATTGTTGATAAGCAAGATAGTAATGTAATTTCAGTATTTTCAAGATTTTAGTATAAATTGAAGATTTGCAAAATTTAAATTGGGCTCTAAAACTATCGGACACTCTGTATGTTTCCGCATTCTCTTTTACCGTACCGTCAGATGCACTGCATCCACAGACATTTGATTTGAGTGCTAAATATAGGTTATGTTACTGTATTTGTTTATAACTTCAGAAATTATTCAACAATTTAATACTGAGTACTAATTAAACGAATTTGTGACGATATCGTTCACTAAGTTCAATTAAAGAGTCACCATGAGTGAGAAGAGACGACGAAAACGCTATGAAAGTTCATCGTCGAACTCGAGCAGTGCGGATAGTGCTGAAGAAGCCCGCCTCAAGGATATTAAAGAACGAGACGAATTTGCGGAGCGATTAAAAAAGCGCGATGAAGCTAAAACCCGAAATATTGTGCAAGCCTCTGACAAGCGAGCGTATGCTGAGGCTGTCAAGAGGCTTAAATTGGAAACCGAAGATAAAGACAAGATGATTCCCAAATTACGTATTGAATCGAGACGAAAATATTTGGAGAAGCGAAAGGATGATAAAGTGATGGAGCTCGAAGCAGACATTGTTGACGACGAATATTTATTTGAGGAAGACATGTGGGTAATTTGTTAAGGGTTATTGGGAACTTATTTTATTAATTGCAGTTTAACATCGAGAGAACGTAAAAACAGAGACTATAAGAAGACACTCCTTAAGCTTGCTCATGAACATGAAAAGGCAAGGGAGCTCGAAAATGTTCAACGTTATCATATGCCACAGGATTTAGGCAAGGGAGCTAAAGCGGATTATGTGGAGGTTGACGAGCTTGAAAAGGTACCACATTCTGAGCAGAAGAAATGGGAGCAAGAACAGATGGCCTCCGCACAATTTCATTTCGGAGCAAAAGGCTCAAAAACTGACGAGTACGAGCTGCTATTAGAAGATCAAATCGAATTTATTCAGGCTTTACAACTTCCCCATGGTATGTACGATTTTTATTATTTGATTTAAACTCAATCGTATTTAGACGAACGCGACAAAGAACAGAAGCCTCAATTAACCGAGGGTGAAAAGAAAAAGTTAGATATTGAAGAAACTAAGAAGAGTTTGCCCATATTTCCTTTCAAAGAAGATATTGTTGCCGCGGTTCGTGAGCATCAGGTTTTAATTATTGAAGGCGAGACTGGTTCGGGTAAAACTACTCAAATTCCCCAATATCTGCACGAGGCTGGATTTACAAAAGATGGTAATATTATATTTGCACCAGTATGAAGGTGTGGAGGGTCCATTTTTTTTAATCTCTAAATTTAGGTTTGTAGAAACTGCTTTCCAAAGGAAGTCATTTTCTTAGATTGTTTATGACCGTATGCATCGACAAATTTAAGCGAGGCTTAGCTTATAATCTATGGCAACGATTATTGAGACAATGGTTGCCATGGATTTTAAATTTGTCGGTGCATATGGCCATAACTCTTTATTTTTAATGATGAAAAATTAACAAAAGAAAGTTAATATTCAAATGTCAGTAACTGCCATCTTGAATTTTATTTTGACACATCATTTTTGAATTTGTTTAAAGTAAATTTAAAATCTTTAAAAATAAATTTTAACTGGGCCCGAATTTGAAAAAATGAAATTTTTTCTTATACTTCAAAAATAACGCAAAATTAAAAGATGCACTCTGCGCATATTGCAAACAACAATAGCGCATTTAAGATTAGTATTTTGTTTGCAATCATGAGAAAGATGGAAAGTATTTAATTATTTATCTTCTTCCTGCCCATAGCGACAATCCATTCTATTGTTTTCCCAACAAAATTGATGAATTTCGTACTACCAACGTAACCGAAAAGATTCTAAAAATTATATTATGGATATTGTATTTTTGAATTAATGAAAAAAAATGGAATTATTATTAGGAATATTATTATTATTTTGTTAAATAAATTTTCGAAGCACCGTCTAAAACGCCTCTTACAATGTAACTACTGATGTCTTTAAGTATCAAAAAACCCAAATTTCAAGTGAAATTCAAATATTTGTGAAAACTTTTTTAGAATCATTTCATCAAAGCTCTCAAAAACGGTCCCAAAAGTCTATCTGTCGCCGCAGGTGCTAATTTCAGTTGTTACATCAATTACATGTCAAAATAAACATGAAAGATGTCTCTATTGAACCACAATTTTGTAAAAATGATCACAATTGGTACCTGAGGCGAGACAGTCAGGTTTTTTAATTGTTTTAAAAGGACTGTATTTGTTATTTGTTTGTACTTGCTTACGACAAAGAATAGTATTGTCATACAACGTGGCAACGGGGCCAGTGTAATGGGGACGCTTCCAACTACGATCCCCATGGAAGAAATTTATTATTTATTATGAATTTTTAATTTGTTTAAATAAAATTGATTTATTCTTTAAAAAACTTTGAAATAAAAAAAAGGAAAAAACAAATGATTTCAAGAATTGAGGGTTGGTTCACACTTTGCGGTCTGCGTTCAAAATAGTCCCTTCCACGCCCTCGCACACGATCAGGTTTTATGAGTTTAAAATTGCAGGTAAAAAAATCGGCTGTACTCAACCAAGGCGAGTTGCCGCAATGTCGGTAGCAGCGAGAGTCGCGCAAGAAATGAGTGTGAAATTGGGAAACGAGGTTGGTTATAGTATACGTTTTGAAGATTGCACCTCGGAACGGACGGTAATTAAATACATGACTGACGGTACCTTGCATCGAGAGTTCTTATCTGAACCTGACTTACAAACGTACAGTGTAATGATGATTGATGAAGCACACGAACGTACGCTTCATACTGATATACTGTTTGGTTTAGTAAAAGATATTGCTCGTTTTAGACCAGATTTAAAGCTTTTAATTTCGAGTGCGACGTTAGACGCGCAAAAATTTTCTGAGTTCTTTGACGACGCGCCCATTTATCGAATACCCGGCCGTCGTTTTCCCGTTGATATCTACTATACAAGAGCCCCAGAGGCGGATTATGTGGACGCTTGCGTTGTTTCGGTGCTGCAAATTCATGCAACACAGCCCTTAGGTGATATTTTGGTATTTTTAACGGGTCAAGACGAAATCGAGACTTGCCAAGAGTTGCTGCAGGATCGCGTACGAAGATTGGGCTCAAAATTGAAAGAGTTACTGATCTTGCCAGTTTACGCCAACCTTCCCAGCGACATGCAGGCGAAAATCTTTATGCCAACTCCACCAGGCGCACGTAAAGTGGTACTCGCCACCAATATTGCGGAAACCTCTTTGACGATCGACAACATCATATATGTAATTGATCCAGGTTTCGCCAAACAAAATCATTTCAATTCGAGGACCGGCATGGAAAGTTTAATGGTTGTTCCGATATCGAAAGCCTCGGCCAATCAAAGAGCGGGTCGAGCCGGTCGTGTGGCCCCTGGAAAGTGCTTCCGGTTATACACGGCGTGGTCGTATAAACACGAATTGGAGGACAACACCATTCCCGAAATTCAAAGGATAAATCTGGGAAACGCCGTTTTAATGTTAAAGGCGTTGGGAATCAATGATTTGGTGCATTTTGATTTTCTGGATCCACCACCACATGAGACTCTTGTGTTAGCTCTCGAACAGCTGTATGCTTTAGGAGCTTTAAATCATCACGGCGAATTAACAAAATTGGGGAGGAGGATGGCCGAATTTCCTGTCGATCCTATGATGGCTAAAATGTTATTAGCAGCTGAAAAGTAAGTATTCATATGTTCAAAATGGTCAAACACTATGCATTCCTGAGCCTTCTTTTGGCAAATGATTACATTTTATTATTCATTGCAGGTACAAATGTTCCGAAGAAGTGGTAACAATTGCAGCAATGCTATCTGTCAACAGCGCCATCTTTTATAGGCCTAAAGACAAAATTATACACGCAGACACGGCACGGAAAAATTTTAACCACATTGGCGGCGACCATCTCAGTCTGCTTAACGTTTACAACCAATGGCGAGATTCTGATTTTTCCACTCAGTGGTGCTACGAAAACTTCATCCAGTATAGGTAACTTGTATGTTTTACTCTGAAACTATTTTTCAACAAACGTTAAAGGTCTATGAAAAGAGCAAGAGATGTACGCGAGCAACTGGTTGGCTTAATGCAGAGAGTCGAAATAGATATGGTCACGAATGTTACCGAAACGGCTGATATACGTAAAGCGATAACTGCCGGATACTTTTATCACATTGCCAGGTTATCGAAAGGGGGTTCGTATAAAACAGTGAAACATAATCAGGTGAATCATCTTTACGACTTAATACACTATGCTTAATGAATGCAATTTCACAGAGTGTTACAATCCATCCAAATAGCGCATTGTTTGAGGAGTTACCCAGATGGCTACTATATCATGAATTAGTTTTTACTACAAAGGAATTTATGAGGCAAGTGATTGAGATCGAGAGTAAATGGCTGTTGGAGGTTGCACCTCATTATTATAAGCCGAAGGAGTTGGAAGATTCCACAAACAAAAAAATGCCAAAAACGGTTGGCAGAAGTCAAATGACTGCTTAACATAATTTAGGCTTTGCATTTTGTAATTTATATGTAAATACCTACCCTTATTAAACAATTCTGGTTTTTTTTCTAGTACTGAATATGATATACACTATTTAAACTCAAAACCCTAAAGACGAACGACTTTCGTGCCTGTACTACTCAGTTGAATATCCATACTGGTCGTTATGCAGCCATGCATATTTCCGCGTATACTTTGCAAGCTAACAATCAAAATATACAACCGACAAACTCGGCAAAATTATTTGCCCTGCCCTATATACATACAACACACGGTGAATCATCTGTCAGATTCAAGGTTAAACTGGCAAAAGCACTTCTTTTTCAAAAAATAAATCAAAAATTAATATAATGGCCAAAGACGAAAAATTAGAATCTCCACAACGCGATGCAGCGCAAAAAGAAAATTTATGGTAAATTCCTGAAGGTTCGTAAATGGAAAAAGCAAAGTCTTTTGCAGGTCTTCGATTCTAAACGATGTCCAAAACCATGGAAACACAAAGCTACCATCCTGCAAGCAAATTCTTGTGTTGGGCGATAATGAGTCTGGCAAAACGACTATGGTGGCAAAATTACAAGGAGTTGAAGATCCCAAAAAAGGATGGGGCTTGGAGTACGCCTACATTGACGTTCGCGATGACTACAGAGACGGTATTGTCGTAATCATATGTAGCTTTTATTGGCTGTATTCTTGTAGATAACACTCGGTTGAGCGTATGGGTCTTAGATGGGGACGCAGGTCATAATGAGCTACTTAAATTCGCCCTTAATTCAGAGACATTCCCTCATACTTTAGTGGTTTTAACTGTGACAATGACCTCACCGTGGGGAATTTTGGATCAACTACGCCATTGGGCTTCTGTACTTGCGGATCATGTCGATAAACTAAAGTTAGATGTTGATTTACGACAGTCACGCAGGTAAATCAGTTTACAGTTGTAATGTTAATACTTAAATGCACTTTAGGCAGTACTTGGTGAAAACGTGGCAAGACTACATTGAACCGGGCGATGAACTGGATCCTGCCTCGCCAATGAAACGTAGCTCGCGGAATTTGGGAGATGGTGATTTCGATGGAGAGCTGTATGATGACGGCCCTCTACCTGAAGGAACGTTAACTAGCAACTTAGGGACTGGATATTGTTGTAGTGGTTACTAAGGTGATCATATTGAAATTATAAAATTAGAAAGTTAATTCATTTGATGCAGACGGATTACATACAAAATCTGGAAAAAGAACATGACTATCGGGATGAGCACTTGGATTTCATGCAGCAGCATATTCGACGATTCTGTTTGCAATATGGGGCCGCTCTCTTTTATACTAGCGCAAAGGAGGACAAGAATTGTGATTTATTATATAAATATCTTACTCATCGTATTTATGGTTTTCCATTTCGTACCCCAGCCTTGGTAGTCGAAAAAGATGCAGTCTTCATGTTAGTTACAGTGTGTTTCAATTAAAGCCAAAACTATTATTTTTACTTCCAGACCTGCAGGTTGGGATAACATGAAGAAAATTAGCATTCTATTCGAAAACATGCACACCTGTAAACCGGATGACTATTACACTGATATTATCGCCCAACCAGTCACAAGAAAGGTCAGTTTTTCCACCCCATTTGTGGTATCGTAATACTTCATTGCAGACTGTAAGTCGCGAAACCGAACTCCTAGCAGAAGACGAGCAGGGATTTCTAACTCGCCAGCAGCAAATTCTGTTAGCGGGAGGAGGTTTAGCTCCTGCAGGTTTGCGCCCCGGAGAATCTCCAATTCGCACGCCGACTCTAACGAAGGGTTCAACACGTTCTCCGGCAGCAGCCGGTATACAGAGTTCCCCAAAAAAGGTGATTGGTGTCATTTTGATGATTGTATTTAAAGGCGGTTTCGTTTTAGTTGGATGGGTCTAAAGTTGTCAGCACCCCAGGCGGAGAAGGCGTGTTGGCAAACTTTTTCAATTCTCTACTGCATAAAAAAACTGGGGCAAGTCCCGGTAGCCCGGCCAGTTTAACAGGGTCGCCGAAACCTGTGGCGGATGGTACTCCTGATAAAGCTACAATGCGTTCCGATGCAGCTGCCGAACTTGATCGATTGGCTAGATCTAGAAAACCTACGGGCGATGGAGGCATCGACTTTAATGCATCAGATTGCTGAAGTGAAGATAATTTATTGTTAATCTAACTTTGTTATGCTTATTTTTTGTTCAGGTTGTAAATGTAGAAAGACGCTTTAATTTATTTGGTATCATTGGTCAGTTCTGTATGAATTTATTGTACTAACATGTAAACAAATTCAGTATTTCATGTTGTTGTTTGCTTAAAGTGAAGGAGGATTTCTGAACTGAATGTGTATGAAATTATTTCTGTGTGTACATTAATTATATATTCGTGTCATTCTTTTTCTATATTATATATATATCTTGCAAAACGACAAAATCTTTCAATTGTCTTTACCCAATGAAAAAAACAAGTTTCCAAGTATACAGCGACAAATTATGTTTTCATGTAATCATATCTCAAGTATTGATTAATAAAGATGTCTATTCCTGCCTTTAATTAATTAGAATATTGGTTCTTTGGCTTCACAGAAATAAATCTCTTAATGCTCGTTATACTCTTGTTACCAGCGCTATACCAATTGACAATTCCAAGTTTTTCTTTAAGTTGAAAGCATCGTGGCACAGGAACGAAATTAATTATGGAAGTCAAAGCAAAGCAACAATAATCAAATTAATTAATGTGACAGCTAGATCATTATTTGTTTTAAGAAGTTATTTTGGTTACATAAAATTAGGCGCCCTTCAGAAGAGATTTTGTCATAAAACAATACATGTAAATCCCTATGTCTACTTCTTATATACCTATGGTGTGTCCCACGATGTACGCACCATAGGCAATCGGGAATGATCCACGTGGCCTTTGATATTATATTTGTAGTTGGCGTCCAACATACGTTATATTGCCAATTTCAAAGGCCCTGTGGATCCCTATATGGTGCGTTCTACCTGTGACCCACTGTATGTTGCTATTAACAGCATCTCTGCATCTTTTATGGTCTATCAGAGTTCTCCAAAGACTGGAGGAAAATCAAAATGGAAAAGCCAGCTATTATAAAGAATATATGAAAGGTGTTGGCGTGGGGTGGATGAATAGGAATCTTTCAAACAAAATCTTAAAATAAGTAGGTACATCGTTAGTGCTGGAGTACCTATATGAAGGCAATGTCAAAGGTATTTAAATCTTCTATCCATGGGGGCATTCATTAAAAACTTCAGTCAATACTTCGATTAAAAAGTGGAACATATTTTGAAGCATATACTTACTCGCCAGAGCTGGGCAGAATACTTTCAAAAAGTATTTGAATACTAAATAGTAAATACTTTACACAAATCAAAGGTATTTGAATACTAAATACTTTTACGTCCAGCACAAGCGAATACTAGATACAGATACATAGAAAAGTATTCAAATACTTTAAAAAAATAAGTATTCAAATACTTTAGAATGTATTCGAATACTTTCAAAAGTATTCGAATACTTTCAAAGGTATTCGAATACTATAAAAAGTATTCGAATACAGTAAAAAGTATTCAAATACTTGTCACTCAAATACATTAAAAATTTAAAATAGTATACTAGATAAAAGGCTTAATACTACTTAAAAATTAAGTTATACTTTGTATGGGGTTAGCTTTTTTTATATTTCTATTGTTATATACAAATTTAAGGGGAGTAAAAGCGTATTATTATTATTATATAGGAGGTACCAACCAGGACCTTTCTTATACCAGTTATATCCTTAAAAATACGTGTTGGGCTACTAGTTCAAAAGTTACAGCCCTTTGAATTTTCTTTCGAAATTGGTTTCTAGTCTATAACTTTTGATTGAGAAGTCTGATCAAAAAGTACGAATTGTTTTGGATTCTACGCACCAAAATTAATAAGAAAAAGTGTTTTCCCAAGAAATTTTGGTGCAGTCGATTTTTGGTAAAAAAGGAAGGTTATACACTGCCTTTTTTTGAGGCCCGAAAAAAAATTGTCTCAGATCGACCCGGAAAAAAAAATTTTCTTATAGAATGTGGCCTGTAGAATCCATAATTTCAAACAGTTCCAAGATTGGGCTACTATTTCAAAAGTTACAGCCCTTTGAATTTAGTTTCGAAATTGTTTTCTAGACTAGGTATATAACTTTTGATTGAAAAATCTAATCGAAGAAGTACGAATTGTTTTGGAGTGTACGCACCAAAATTAATAAGAAAAAGTGTTTTCCCGAGAAATTTTAGTGCAGTCGATTTTTGGTAAAAAAGGAAGGTTAATTGCCCTGCCTTTTTTTGAGGCCCGAAAAAAAAATTGTCTCAGATTGACCCGGAAAAAAATTTTTCTTATAGAATGTGGCCTGTAGAATCCATAATTTCAAACAGTTCCAAGATTGGGCTACTATTTCAAAAGTTACAGCCCTTTGAATTTTCTTTCGAAATTGTTTTCTAGTCTATAACTTTTGATTGAAAAATCTAATCGAAAAAGTACGAATTGTTTTGGATTCTACGCACCAAAATTAATAAGAAAAAGTGTTTTCCCGAGAAATTTTAGTGCAGTCGATTTTTGGTAAAAAGGAAGGTTAATCCCTGCCTTTTTTGAGGCCCGAAAAAAAAATTGTCTCAGATTGACCCGGAAAAAAAATTTTCTTATAGAATGTGGCCTGTAGAATCCATAATTTCAAACAGTTCCAAGATTGGGCTACTATTTCAAAAGTTACAGCCCTTTGAATTTTCTTTCGAAATTGTTTTCTAGTCTATAACTTTTGATTGAAAAATCTAATCGAAAAAGTACGAATTGTTTTGGATTCTACGCACCAAAATTCATAAGAAAGGAAGGTTAAGTATTCAAATACCTTGCGAAGTATACGAATACTTTACGAAGTACCTATCCAAATACTTTGCGAAGTATTCGAATACAAAATATTTGTGAAAGTAAAGGATTTGAATACTAAAAAGTATTTACAAAATCGAATACTGCCCAGCTTTGTTACTCGCTAAACCACATACCTACATTTGTGAAAGCTTTCAACAAAGACCATCTTTTACATTTACTGAAAGTGATCTGAGAGAATTTTTTATTTCGGCCCCAGATAATGGTTTCATATACCATATTTGAAGTAACTTTACTTACCAACCTTTAAAGCTCTCAACACGTGCTTTAATCGCCTTTTTTCATAGTGATCAACTTAGGACAATATAGCATCTATTTTTTAGTGACAGCATTGAATAAGTAACTATACCTACTTTATCACTTATTCATTGGTGACAGTAAATCGCGAATGACAATGATATTATTAAATTATGAGTTAGTCTATACGGATCACTATGCAAAAAATTACGTGTGCAACACGTGTTAAAAGTGTCATTTTTTCATGAGTTTATACAGTTTGATTAATTGAGGGCGAAGCAAAAAAGTATCACTTTCAAAACTAGTTGTAGGTAGTACAAATAACTATTTTCGCACGCTCAGGCGTATTTTAAACAGCGATTCTGATGCAGGTATAAGAAATGTTCCATATATGTGCCTATAATTCTAATAATCCCTAATAGAATAGAAATTTTGAAATTATCACCCTCTTTGGAGGATTCCTTGTATGATGTTTCACAGCAATCTGTGTGCCACCTGTTTTCCATTTTGGCTAGGCCTCGGATACATTTTATATGTTGAGCAGTTTCCGCATGTCTGCTTCATTGATTTGGTGTCGAATGAAAACATCACCTAAATTAAATTTGGACACCTCTTTTTTTAAGCGATATTTGTCCGAATGTTCTTTAGTAAAAATCTAAAGTGTCTGGCACAATATGTATACCTAGTTTTTTGTTGGTAAATATACCAGCAATAATAAGAGTTTATCCATAAAGATTTATTCCGTAAATTTTTATGAATCTATATAGTCTAGATAACCATTAGACTAAGCCGTTTCCAACAAATCTACAAAATTTTTAAATGATATGCTTTATTATTAATCAAGAAAATACCGTTCTTTCACGCATCTCGCAGTTGCGTCATGCTCGATTAAATGTTTTAAGTTTACCATGTATTTCCTATGGTAATAATTCCATGGCTGACTGTGATTGAAACCAATTTTCATTTGTTTATTGTCTCTCATAGTCGCCATCAGCACGGCCATGGAATTATAAACTTCAAACATTTAAAGCAGGATGGGCTCTATTTAGTTTCCTCTTCTGCTCTAGCTGTACTTCCCTAGTCAAATTATGAATGTCTTTTGTTTGTAGAATCTGTTACTTATAAATAAACCCCTAAAGGAATCTAAATAAGCGGCAGAGCACCTCGATGTGATCATTGGATTTGACCCATTTTCAAATAATTAACACAACTCAGTTATACGATTGCATTTGTTAACAAATTTTCTAAATAAGAATCAAAAATCGCAATACAAATCACGAACCGAGCAGAAATAAGACACCTAGTCTCAAAGTACATACGCCAATTAACATATAAATGCTAAATCTTTGTTAATTATTTTGTGTTCTGTTATCTATTATTTAAAACAAATTAAGTAATTTAAATTTTCCCAAGTATTCAGATTAGACATTAAGTAAAATCATTATTCAATAGTAATAATTTAGGTGGTTATGTTTCAGAGACAAAGATAAGATTTTGTGACGCTAACGATATTTCATAACTTGTTTACTTGAAAAATTAAACGAAAAATAATCTTAAAAATTTTAATAAAAGCGTTACACATTTAAGTACAAAAAAATGCATTAGTATCTGTAGTGGGTAGGTTTAAATGGACCACTGACTGGTACACCCAAATACTTCGCTTGTTCGTCAGTAAGTTTCGTTAGCTTAACACCAAGATGGTTTAAATGTAAAGCTGCAACTTCTTCGTCTAATTTCTTTGGTAACATGTGGACACCGATTGGGAACTGGCCAGGTTTGGTCCACAGTTCGATTTGGGCCAACACTTGATTAGTAAAAGAATTGGACATAACAAAGGAAGGATGACCCATGGCACAACCGAGATTGACAAGTCTACCTTCTGCTAGCAGAATGATGTGGTTACCGTTGGGCAATTCGTAGTGATCTACTTGTGGTTTAATGTTAACCTTCTTCTTTGCATTTTTTTCTAGCCATAGAACATCAATTTCACAGTCGAAATGACCAATGTTGCATACAATACTGTCATTACGCATGTTCATGAAGTGTTCTGCGCGAATAATGTCTTTGCAACCGGTTGTTGTGACAAAAATTTGTCCCTCTTTACTTGCTTCTTCCATGGTTGTCACCTCGTAACCTTCCATTGCGGCTTGAAGTGCGATGATAGGATCAATTTCAGTGATAATTACACGACCACCAAAAGCTCTCAAGGACTGTGCACAGCCTTTACCGACATCCCCGTATCCGGCTACGACACAGACCTTTCCTGCCAACATTATATTGGTTGCACGCTTGATGCCATCAGTCAATGACTCTCTGCATCCATACAAATTGTCAAATTTACTCTGCAAATGTTACATTTATTAGCGTCGGTGAAAGTGGATTTTTACCTTTGTAACTGAATCATTAACGTTAATGGCAGGAACTTTAAGTACATTTTCATTGAACATTTTGTAAAGATTGTGGACTCCAGTGGTAGTTTCCTCACTAATTCCCCTACATTCCTTAAGATATTCTGGGTACTTGGTATGAACTAAGTTAGTCAAATCACCACCATCGTCAAGAATCAAATTAAAAGGTTTTCCATCAGGGAAAATCAGTGTCTGCTCTATACACCAAATGTACTCCTCGTCAGTTTCACCTTTCCATGCAAAAACGCGAACACCTCGTTTGGCAATTGCAGCCGCCGCGTGATCTTGCGTACTGAATATATTACAACTTGACCATTGAACCTACACACGAATTTTAATCATTTAACCTTCACCTCTTGGTTACAATTGTAATGATAATACAATTGGGTAACTAACAACTTACTTCGGCACCTAATTCGAGTAAAGTTTCAATAAGTACAGCCGTCTGTATAGTCATGTGCAGGCAGCCGGCAATTTTAGCTCCCTTTAAGGGCTTTTGGGCGCCGTACTTTTCCCTTATGCTCATTAGTCCCGGCATTTCAATTTCGGCGAGGCTCATCTCTTTACGGCCCCATTCAGCAAGACTAATGTCCGCTAAAAATTTGAATTAATAAAAACGTAACCAAACAATATCACGTGGTTTTTTATTTACAAACTTACCGACTTTGTAAGCTGGTGGAGACATGGTAAGTTTTGTAAGTACTTAACACTGAAATTGAAAGTAAAGAGAAGAAAACCTTTATAACTCGGTTTTCTATAAAATGTGCTTTGGGAAGGAACGCATTTGATTTTATATTTGAAACGTTGCAACTGCGCATGCGTGACAACTTAATGGTCAGGGCCGTACTGACGTCCACAGTAAACAATTGAGGATGGTGCTGAATGCTGTTCCCAGTGGGCATTGAATTTATATGTATTATAAATTCAATGCAGTGGGTATGAAAGGCATTCTGTCTTCGAAGAAGTCAACGATATTTTAAACGATGAAAAAGCTATGGTTCTATAAGTGGAATTTATTTCACCGAGCCCGCAATCGTTTTGCGAGACAGGAGGGATAATCATGCATTTAATTACATACATGCACACAACTAAAAAATACACGACTAACCAAATTAATAACATACTCTATAAAGTAATCTTAATTCAAATCAATATTTAGAATGGCAAAAGTTCTAGCTTAGGTGTGCCGTTCATTTTAATTCAATACTTTAAATAACATTTTAATCGATTCTAAGGTGTCTAGGTAATGCTATATATACTCAGGGTTTTGAGTCTAGAGCTTCTAAGAAAATTAGAAGATTCGAAGAACATTGAAGATGGTCCTAACATTTTAAGGAGAAGATTCTAGGATTCATTTGAATGAAGAGTATGCTGCAAAGATTTGCGGGTTTCATACTGTATTAGTTGTACGCATAAAAGCATAAAAAGTACCATACTACAAAATCATAAACGAAACCAAAAAGCTTCGGCTACAGCCTTCGCTATTATATTTTAAATATTATATTTTCAAATAAACTAAAGGACTTTTTGAGAGCTACCCCTCCAAAAGTTAATAATTAACTTTTTTTCAATCTTCTCTCAATAACCACAACAACAAAGATGAAATGAATAGTTTTTGGTATGTTTTCAGGTATGTCCCGTCTAAATTTGCAAAAACTTAAAAAAAAGTCTTTACTTTGGCGCCGAATTACCTACACCTTTCACCTGAACTCGTCCGTTGATCAGTCGCCTTTTACGACATGCAGTGTCTCTGCAGTAGGGATATTCTTTCCCGCCCCTACACGGGTAAACGCTAGACGAACACAACCATTCCAAAGAAAATAAACCTGTGCCATTGAAACCACGAATGAATTTTTTTGATACCTACACGGACTGTGATAAACAATTGGAATCAAACGAACAATTGTGCAGCCATTACAACATTTTTAACGCATTTTCCAATTCATGTTGGAAGGTGCAACGTTTAATACTCTAACTCTAACAATAAGCTGATTTGAAGCAGTATAATATGTCTTATTAATGATTAAACTTTACGTACTTAACTAAATATGACAATGGTCATTAAACCAAGAATCCATCTTAATTATCATCTTATTATTATTAATATTCTTAATATGATTTTGGACACAGCCGATGTCTGAAACTAGTCGTAGAATTTCTCCGTTTGTATTAATCGGTAATTAAAGCATTATGGGGGATAATGGTTAGGTACTTCATTGATAGGACAATGGTCAGTGTCACTACTTAATTCAAGATTATGAACCTGAAATTTTAACAAACTGTGATTATAAAGAAAAATTGAATTTAAGATATACTTACAGTTATATATTAAAGAATAGTCTTTGGTAATAGGTATAGGTAACCCCTTACAATTAATGTATGTATCGTATATGGGTGCGATACTCCTTACTCCCTAGGTACAGACTTTTCAGGTCGCATCAACTGCCGTCTGTGTGACGTAACGACAGTCGTGGTATGACTCCCGGAACCGCCAGCTTTACATGCCCTCCGAAGCATGGTGGTCAGGAGATGTGACTGCGTTAAAAAATTTAATAAATATTTAATGGAATATAATATCGTGTGATGTGGGATACAGAAGATCAAACCAATAGACGTATTTTATCATCGTTCCCATTCTTGTAAACTCTACTGCAGATTCCACTCTAATTCTTGCAAGCGGATCCGATTTTCCCAACGCGTAGGCTTAGTAACCGCCATACATGGCATGGTATGTTCAGAAATTCCAGAAACATGACAGACTCAGACTCTATAAAATCCTCTTATCATTGAAACCTTAGTACCTAAGTACTTCCAAAATAGTTTGGAAACTCTTAAACGGTTCCAAACTTCAAAATTTCTAGCAAATTTAGGTAAAGACTATGACGACTTTAGAGGCTTTGAACAGAGACAATGTTTTTTTTTGCGTTTTATACTACACAATAAAATAATAGAGATAATGTGATGGGTGTGGTAAAAACAACTCACAGCTCATACAGATAGGTAGGTATCGCTTTGCTAGTTCGAGATGATCAAATTTTAGGTCTAGTCCACCGACCTCACAACATAAGTTACTGTTGCAATTGCTTAGATAATCGTTTTATCTTATGAAGTACCTAGGTAGATAGGCATGGCTAGTTAAAGGAAAAATCTTCTATCAGAATTCCTTTTTTCCGTAAGTGTCCGTAGCTTCCACTTTATGCTGTTTACTGTAAAGATAACACACAAATAGTATTGATAAGAGGAAATATTGCTTGTTAAATTTCAGTGTGACTTTAATTTTTACACGTTTTGTTCTTTTCACACGGCGTGAAAAAGTTACTCTACTGCAGTTGGTCACTCGATATCTTTGAAAATCGTCACTACCGTAAGTATCAAAACTTGCCCTGCAAGACTATTGCTATCTCATGCTTAGATATAAATCGTAGAAAGCTCGGAAAGTCCATCAGCTATGTTTATTGTAACAAAGTTTACACTTTACATATCGAATTTTCCAGCTGACATTACCTCCTTATGACCATAGGTGTAACAAAACGCATTATCCTATCTATTGTCTCTATATGCTACTTATCGAAAATGTACAAAATTGCTCAAACTTGATTATAATAATGAAAGATAACGATAACGTAAAACTATAGGCGTCCCAGACTTTTTAATCTTGAACTTGCAAATGCCACACCATGGCGTGTGTAGATATTAAAATATTTGGAATTGTATCAAACGGAGCATATCCTTTGTACCTAGTCATATCATTTATATTAACACAAGCAAAATTTTGTAAATAACGTTATCACCTTGACCTCAACTAAATATATAATTCAATTTACACAGAGCTCTATTTTACGCGCTAGACATCTTTACTGCTGGGGGGAACGAGACAAAGCGGATAGATCAGTTTCCCAGTGCTTACTATGTCAAGTAGAACATTCTCAGTATAATGACTCGTGTTTGAAATAATCTAATTACCGCTTTTACTTGACAAAATCCGGATTAATCGATCTGTTTCCATGACATCATCACTTAGAAGATTAATGTTTAAACTTATTTGTTGATATGTCCACAGCGGAAAAGTTGAAAATGGAAATGGAAGACAAATCGTTGTATAATACCAAATCATCCGCGGAAAGTGAAGTGCACAATAAGATGTACCATAATCAGCTAATGAACAGTTGGGCTACCGAAGAAACGGGTTGGTACAACAAGGAGGTTAACGCACGAAGCAGATCTTTAACTCACTTCTCACTGGATTCATATGCAATGATGGAAATAAGTAGGATAAGGGATAGATTGTTAAGGTGAAGAACGATTACGGTTAGGGTGTGATTAAAAGCTTTTGGTTTCAGAACTAATGCACGCATAGAACGTTCCATGTTTAGATACTTCAACAGAAACCAAACAATGACATTGTTATCGTTGGCTATAGTCGACTTCATGTGTTTTTGCTCAATGTCCATAATGGCACCGTTCTTTCCAAAAGAAGCGACCGAAAAGGGTTTATCCAACACCCTTTCGGGCTTTGTGTTCAGCTTTTACGCACTAGTCATGTTTGTGACGTCTCCAATTTTTGGAAAAATTGTGAGTTTAACATTGTAACTAAAAGATTTACTTTCTGCATATTTCAGTTACCTTTGCTAGGCGCAAAATTTTTATTCATCTCAGGTATCACTTTAACTGGTACCTGCAATATACTTTTTGGGTATGTAAGTTTCGTATTGTTGTAACATGTAAGTAGTTTTTATTTAGATTATTGGAATACGTGCAAGACTACACCCTTTTTAGTACCTTATGCTTTGTGATCAGAGGATTTGAGGCTGTAGGGGCCAGTGCATTTTCTACTGCCAGTTATGTATTTGTCGTTCATAGTTTTCCCGAAAAAATAAGTTCGGTTTTGGTAAGTACAGAGAATAATCTGCTTTATGGATTGATGAGGCTTTTTTAGGGAATTTTAGAAACATTCGTGGGTTTAGGCTTGAGCGTTGGTCCAGCAATTGGAGGGGTGCTGTACTCGGTAAGTGCGCCTAATGTAAGCGAGGCGCATATCACTTGACATATTATGTTTTAGACAGTTGGGGGGATTTCAGTTGCCATTTTTTGTTTTAGGGGTTGCGATGATTGCGGTAACCCCAATAAACGTTTTCCTTCTACCCCCAGTTAATGGTAAACGTATCTACGTATGAAATAATATACTTTACAACCCTTTCTTTTAGATTTCGTCGTTGGCACCGGTGGTGGCTCCATTTTAAAGCTATTGAAAGTTCCAGCTGTGATTATAACCAGTATAGTAATTATAGTGATCTCTAGTATTTGGGCATTTCTAGATCCTACCCTGGAACCACATCTGCGAGAGGTAAATTTTTTTAAGCGCTTCCGATGTTTATAGTAAAGATTCCTTAGTTTAATTTATCGCCGGAACAAATTGGTTTAATCTTCTTTCTGTTTTCTGCGTTATACGGTATATCAAGTCCGTTCTGGGGATGGTTGACCGATAAGTTCAATAACCATTGGTCGATGATGGTCATAGGTATGGTTTTTGCAGCCATCGCTCTTTTAATTTTGGGACCATGTCCATACATACCAATATTAGTCAAGTGAGTAGGCACGTAAATTTAAGGCCGCTGTAAATTTAATATTTTCACAGCACGATTTGGTCCAATCTTCTCGCTCTCTCAATCTTGGGAATTTTCGTTGCGCTAGCTTTACTGCCAGCATTTCAAGGATTGCTAAAAAGCGCGATGTAAGTATAAACCCGGAAAAAACATCTTGTTACCCACCGCGTTTCGACAGAGATGGGGGATGTGATGACTCATTGGCCACCTACAGTTTGGTAGCGGGAGTTTGGTCGGGCATGTATTCTTTGGGTGAAGTGATTGGACCTTCACTTGGCGGCTACTTATTGCACAATTACGGTTTTGGAGTTTGCTCGACTGTAATGGCTTTAATAACTCTACTTACGGTACGATATAGTTGTCCCAAAAGGATTCACCTTAATACCACTTTTTAGGCTGGGCTGTTGTCGTTTGCGTTCCTCTTCCTCAATTTTCAAAGCAAGAGTAAACGAAGCAATAGTTACGAGTTTTCTGATAGCGGCATTAACGAATCGTGGAAAACCGATGATCATGAAGGAACCCCATTATTAAGCTCTAGAAGTAACCTTACACAGAGAAGTTACATAGAGAAAAAGGTTCACTACTACGAAAGAAGTAGGAAATACGATTATTTGGTACGTTTCAATCGAAAATGGTATAAACAATTAATGGATAATTCTTTTAGTTAGGAAATTTAGATAGGAATCAAGTGACTGACATTCGTGGAACGATCTCCATTACACCAAAAGGCGCGTGCGAAATTTAATTAGGTATTTTGTAAATGCGTTATATAAATAGGTATCATATCATATATTTATAATAAAGTTTCTTAATAGTTGTATATATATATTAATTATCCTCAAGGCCACTACTGTAGTACTCGAGATTGATTATATAAACAAGCGGTTAATCGCAGTGGAATTTTTTCTACAGGCTTGCTCTGTGGCTCTGTGGATGTTAAGCTACTTGGCTACTCTCAGTAAGTACCTATACTACACAAATTCATTGCAATTGAAAATGTTTACCATTTTCCGATAGCTGTGACTTAAAAAATGTGTCATCCAAACGGTCAAGCTTTGATCGCAGAACGGTAGCTTGATGAGATTCGTGTGGAAGGGGTCAAAGCTGGCGTCCGGTATCCTGAAGTTTCCAAGTCCGGCACTGTTCTGACGGTGGACTTTGCAGCGTTGGCAAGAAATGTATTGAATGCAAAGGACGTATTTGACTCGGCCAAAAGAACCTAAGCGGTACGCTTTAAAATGGCTCTACCACTGGATGAGAGATTATGGACGGTTTCAAAAACGTGGCGTCGTAGTGTGACTGGTAGGTATGGCATGATGGACCATTAAATTCTAGGTAAGTGTGCCGCATGGCCGTCTATGTTGAATCGATGAAATTTCAGGCGAGGATTGTCTAGGATGTGAAGTAGGTACACCTGAAATCAGCAGTAGGTTTGGTATCTGGATGTTGGCAGATCAACATTAATTTTAGCTTAGTAGATAAAGTAAAACAGTTAATAATAATAATAATAAATAGTCTTTATTGCATTAAGAAAGAATATATAAAAAAAATTATGAAAATTAAATGCGGGGCGAGATTCAGTTACAGGGGGTAGCTTCCCTGTAGCTGCTCTTACTTTGAAATTCTTATTTCAAATGTCACACGGAGCACGATATAAATGACGTTCAGAACATATGACAGTTCTGTTTCTATGGAAAATACCTAATCTTAATAATAAATAAGCTTTATTTTGCGCATAATAGAAAATAACAACAAATAATCGTATATTATATTACGGCCTAAGAGCTCTATGTGACGTAAATCGATACAAAAAAGATTTATCAGAAAAAGGTAGTTCCACTTGACAGATCGTTATACCGGGTGGTGGCTTGTACAACGCCCCATAAGAATTTCAATAGTAATTTTTTCATTTCTGATTAATGGACTTCCCTAATTATTTTAGAGATAAGATCCCAATTGCACATTACTTATTCAAAAATCAATCATAGTTATATTCTAAAAATTACACACATCAGACATTATTTTTTAAAAGAATTCTTAATTATACCAAAGAGTACCCATGGTAATGGTACGCATATAAAATTAGTTTAGTGACTGTCTGCTCCCAACGAAAAATAATAACAGTTGGAGTTTGAGGACATGCATTTTAAAGTATTATAGGAGATGCCTGATGTTGAATGAAGAAATTAGTCAGTTTCATGAAAAAGATGATTTCCTCGAGCCCAACGTGCCAGTGCTAAACAAAAATTACATCATTTGTCTGTGGAAACTTAATAGTATAAATTTTGCTTCGTAGTTTACATGACCGTTTGTATGTGAATGTGACTCACTTTTGTTCTGTGCTTTTGTATAACAGTTGCATCATTTTTCTAACCCAGTTCAAAAATATTTTTTCATCAAAATGTTCCTTAATTCAAGAAAATTTTGTTAAAAAATCATATTCAAACTAACTAATCTTAAGTTTGCCATCGATGTCATTACAAAAAGTAAAGAAATAGAGTCGACGGTTTTTAGGTTACGTACACGTCTAGAAAGTTCTAAATAGTTCTTTGATGGCAAAATCGGGAATGTCAGGAAGCAAATCCAATGAAAAGAAGGCTAGTAATAACCGTCCAAAGAAGTCATCCACGCTGGACGTTAAGAATCCTACACCGGAGACTATTAACAATGTAAACACTGTTTGTAAACCCAAACCTACGTCAACACCGACTAGTATTCTAATCGAGTCTCTAGTCAAGAATTTGTGCTCGATATGTGAACCGGATGAGCAAAAGTCGGAGAAAATTTACAACTTCATTTGCAGTAAATTGTTTGAAATGAAATTGGTAGATGAAAGTTACAACATGATCGAATTTGAAGGTATGCGTAACCAATACCAACGCGCTTTATATCACTTAGTTACGTCTGCTATTGGTAAACAACCAGTACCTTCACTGCAAGCCTTTTGGCAAAATAATGACATCACTAACGAATGGTCCCATTATTATCGAGAATTTGACGAGATTGAATATATAGCAGGTGGTGGTTTTGGGCAGGTAGGTGGTAGAATAACTTCACTGCACACTGCTCTAATAATATTCCTTAGGTTTATCGTGTAAAGCACAAGTTGGATGGGACAGATTATGCAATTAAAAAGATCGTGATACGTTCAGAAGGAATTAAGTCCATTCGTAATTACCTTTCAGAGGTGAAGACGTTTGCGAGTTTAAATCACTCGAATGTTGTCCAATATAAAGCAGCATGGTTGGAGTTGGGTGGAGCTCGTAACAAGCAGGTCGACAACAATGTATCATATACAACTGAACCTTCTGATCACAACCTAATTACTGGCGATGCAGACCAATACATTTACCCAGACGCCGCGACTGAAATGGACACATTTACTCAGAGAATGGAGGAGTCTGACTTCGAAGTTAGTTTCCAAGCCACATCGGAAATTCATCAGTATTCGCAATCTAGTAATAGCATTTTTAATAGCGATAGAAAAGTTAGAAGAAGCGCTCGGGTGAAGCGTAACAGTATTTCCGAAGGCGGGAATGCCATTTGCAAACTGGATGAAATAGAGAGTCTATACGTGCAGGCGAAAAGCGAGTTGAAATGGGCTACTCTGTACATACAGATGGCATTGTGCCAAACAACTTTAAGACATTGGTTGGAGAAACGCTATGAGACTGAACACAGTAAGGATTCAGCTTTAATTTCCGTAAATATGAATCAAGTTCACTATGATTCTGTTATGGAAATTTTAAGGCAACTTTTGTTAGGTAAGTTGGCTGTGTTCGCCTTTGACAGCACCAACACTATACTTTTTAGGTATAGAATACATTCATTCGAAACGGATCGTGCATCACGATATAAAACCAAGTAACATTTTTATCCAAATTGATAACGGTCGACTATTGGTGCAGTTAGGCGATTTCGGTTTGGCTTGCCCGCTGCAAAGTGTTAAACACAGTTTAGCGTTCGGTACAAAGCTATACGCTGCACCAGAACAATTGGCGGGAAAATGCGATTCGAAGGTAAGATATGCTCTGTACTACCGCCAAGTTGAATAATAAACATTTTTTTAGAGCGATATGTATTCTCTCGGCATTGTTTTGTTTGAGCTCGTTATGTCGTTCAGTACGGACATGGAACGTATACGTACCATTACGGAATTAAGAAGAAACGGTCTCGGTTCAGATTGTTTAGCTTCAAATGCTCAATTCACCGCGGTAATTAAAGACCTGATGGCGAGACACCCGGGCGATCGTCCCGACGCTACAACCCTAATGCAAAGGCTCAGGTTGAACCTTTCCGAGTCGGACTTGGTGCAGGAGTTACGTTCTCAGTTGGCGCAAAAAGACGACGAAATATTGAGATTACAAACTATACTAAAGAATGCTGGGCTGCACGCTACTTAGTTGGTCAGGGGAAATTTGCACTTGAAGTTTACATTTCATTTCAAGAATTATCCCACAAAAATACGTCCTGATTGACTTGGATGGATGGACGGGCGTGTGTCTTGCAAGCAAATGTTATTATTGCACTGCCTAATGTGTTTTTGTTTTATAAACGATACCAAAATCATTATAGCCATTATTTTAATGATACTTAAATGGTCGTACAATTTTGATACTCATATTTTGTACAAGTCCATGACTGAACATGTTATCATGTGAGATATTGTGATATTAAAAACTTAATAAAGTTATTACTTTTTACTGCTTTGTGTTTATTACTCTGATTATTGCATATAAATAGGTTATTGCATCTTGATTAAACTTTTGAATTTGTCCTGGTTGTTACTGTACTCTTCTGGAAACCCTTTGTGATACGGTATCCCTTATTTTAAAAATTTCTGCCAATTTTCTAAACAAGCATACCATTATCCAAACCCAAATAAAGCGACAAAATATCCAAAAAATATATTTGGAAACTATACAATTTGGATATCTTGTCGGTGGCGCGACAATATTTTCAAATTTCCAACTATTGTAGACAAAAAATTCAAATTTTTGGACTTAAATGCGTATGCACTAGTACTGGTAGAAATTGAACTCATTTTGACTAAATGAAATTCTTTCATGATGCTGCAGTTTAACCAGTACGAAGGCATCGCGGTATCGAGCATCGAGTTATTGCCTTGGAGAAAGGTCTTTAAAAATTCGAGCTAGCGTGGAAAAAACAAGTACCTATATATAATAGGGTCATTAAATCCCAAAAAGACACAAAACCTTCCCTAATTTAATAGACAAATGTAAAAGCAGCGACTAGTTTCGACCAACGATCATCTTCTGGTTTGAACCTGAGTATGAATTTGTCGCTTTCGATGGCGTCTTCCACCTACGCCCGACTTTTCATTTATTAATTAAATATAAATTAATTTTACATCATGGATCTAAAGACTACATTTAATGACGATATATTTTAATGTTATAGTTTAATTTTTATCGTTTTTTCCCCTTGCTGCTTTTCAAATTTTGTAATGTGTACTTTGAGAATGTTTAAAAAAATTTTAATCTGTACCTTTGAATATAGACTACCATTTTATAATCAAAGATCTGTACTCTCCTTATTGGATAAAATCCTTATTTTGATCCGGCTATTAGGTACACATGACCCAAATTGTAGGGATAATTTCTGATGTACATACACGCATACAACCGGATTTATCATTTATTAAACATGGGATGCTGCAATAGCTATAAAACAATTTGTTTATCATTTTATAATGTATTACTTATTGAGGATTGCGGAATCTGTGTAAGTGGTATACAGCTCCTGCCTACTTGAGGTCTTATTGTACATATAGGTGGAAGTTGAGGAGATAACAATAGGAAAGTATTTCGATTTAAAAGATTATAGAGATTTACTTAATACCGTTTTCCTAACAGGGGCGCCGGAAGAAAATGCGCTAGGGAGGGGCCCTTACATTTTTGAAATAGAAAATGTTACCCAACTATTTTTAAATTAGTAAATCAATAGGATACGCAGCTAAATCATATATCCAATAAAAACTATTGGTGTAATAGGTACATATTAGACACAAAACAAAACAAGAACAAAAGTAACAAAGTTACAGTAGTTTACTAAAAAAAAATGAAATTAATAGCAAACTATATTATACAATTTGCTGTGGTTAGTACAGATACCACCCGTACACCGGCGCATATGCGCGTTCTACCTTCTTTTAGGTCTAACAATATGTGTACCAACTTTGGTTCCAATCGGTTCAGCCGTTTAGCCGTTAATGAGAGTTTAACACACTTGTGCATATACGCTATTCTCCCCGAAAGTTTTTCAGCTCTTCTTTTTATATCTAAGAATATGCGTGTACCAAATTTGGTTACAATAACAGTACACTGTACAGACAGACCGACATCATCAAAATTTTGTTGGAATCGGAATCCTGGTGCTTCAAAACGTGTATTTGCGTAAAAAAGTTGGGGGGGGGGGTCTTTTTTTACCACAATGCAATACCTCCCTTACTAACGTGCAGGTGATAAAAATTACAGTCTGTAAGGCAAATTCGAGGGCAAATTGTAACATTTAACTATTTTACTACTCAAAACTATAACTAAATTACCAACCATAATGTTATTGATTACAATGTGGAATGTAGAGTAGGGTAAAACAATGTAGGTACCTAATTATTTCGAAAGAATAAAAATTCCTCTGACGTGATGATTTTGTCTGCCTGTGCGTCTGTTCCTCGTCTAACTCAAGAACGAAAAGACACAGCGATGTCAAATCTTCGCCAATCGATTTCTACGAGTTCGAGAATCAGTGCTATTGAATATGAGCCGGATGAAAAGTCTGGTTTCACAATACGAGCTGAGTAACAAAAAATTCCCCTACTGAATCGTATGCGATTCTTCGTATATTCATCACTTTATGTGCATCTATTCCATAACAAGTTAAAAACTTGGTCACTCGCGACCAACGAAAGCGCATTTTCCTCGCACAGAATCGGTAATAGTTCGGGAAGGGTGACTAATCCAAAAAGTCTTTTGCCGTTCTGGTCTTGAGGCTGTGCTACACAGTATAAGAAACACACCACAACGAAAAAGCCTAAAGTGGAGGACTAGTAATGGTAAAGACGGACAAAGTGCGGACAATAGCGTTCGTTTTTCTTTTAGAAAATGCGCTAAAAAGCGCCGAACCGAAATATGTAAGTGACATGACAAATTGTCATTGATGTTTTTCCAAAACAAACAGCCACCCTGCGGTCTTCGGTTAATTTAATCTCTATATAGTCTATAACTCTATACAATATGCATGGGAACTTTATGGACATTGAAGTAACTCAATAAGGTTATAAAAGGTTTACCTACTTTTGCTTTGTCACCGAACAGCGATGGGACAGGAAAAGGTGGCTGTATTTTGGTTTTATTGTGAGCTTTCAACATTTTCTAAAATGGATTAAGTGATTTCTCAAATCCCAGGGAGGGGCCCGGGCCCCTCCTTGCCCTTTAGTAGCGGCGCCCATGTTTCCTAACACAAATAACCCAGCGTCCCTAACAAGTCCAACATTTATTTTTTTGAGCATCGACATTAGCTACAATCATTGAATAAAAAATTCAATGCTACAATTAACATGCGGGGTGGTGGCTTGACGAACGCACCATAGAATAGGAATTTCAATAGTAATTTTTTAATGCCCGATTATTGACTTCCCTAATTATTAAAAAATGGGTCCCGTCCCGTTTTAAAGTAGATAATGCCATCATGGAATTATGAAATCAAACGAAAAAGCGCCTGCATTTGCCAGCAGCATTGATTTATATTGTGTTAATCAGTGCTTTGTTTGATCTCAAAACTGCCATAAGAGAGCATTAGTTTATACCGTGTGTCCCAGGGAGAACGCACCATATAGAGACTTTCGCGAAGGATCCAGCAGGTCTTTGATATGTAATTGAAGTTAGCGTTCAACGTAAGGTACGTTATTGCGCTAATTGCCTGATGCTAGAAAGAGATTGGAGTACTACGTTAAAGAAGCTCATTTCAAAGACCTCGTGGATACTTCGCGAAAAAATACATTACCGTTTCCCTATGGTGTATCCTATACCTGGGACACACTGTATGAATCGCGTCGTAATTTTGTTTTTGAATTTCGGAATTCACATCAACAAATTCGATATGAAAACTTGCAATGTATTGTGGATCATCGAGTGCAAAAAATAATCTACAAACATATGTCACTTCGGCATATAATGCGCCGAGGGCACAAAAAAGTTTATTCAATGGTTAAAGGTTAGTTGCAATACGAGTAAATCAATTTGAGAGGAAAAATATACCAATTACTCTGAAATTTAACATAAAATAAATGACTATACCTATATACCTACTTTATTAATATACAGTGAATTTTTTTTAAATGCGAACATAGGAGTTTGCATGCAATGTAATTTGCCTATGTTCGATTAAAAAAAAACACATCAATCTATTGAGTAGTTCAAATGAGTAGTAGATACAAGTGACAGCTGTCACATTTTTAAAAATACCGCCGTCCAATTTAATTACGAAATCGGTTGTTTTTGCTTAGAATGTCAAGGAGGACACTTCGAACATTTATTGTAATTGTTTTCGTTATTTATTTTCTTCATTTATGTATTGAATAGATCAAATTAGTAGAATATCAGGTGCACATGAACTACAAATAATTGAAGGTTGGTTCACAATGAGTTGTGGTGTCAGTGCGTGCTCTGTGAGGTCATGTTATCGTAAGTTTAAGAAAAATGTATCCTAAAGTTGCTATGGCCTCACATGACTTCTTTAAACAAATCTTACCAAGTGCTCTTCATCATAAAGACTATAGAATTGCTGTTCATAGTCACACAAGTTGCGCGTTTTGCTGGTGGGAATGTGAACCGCGCACACCTCATAGATTGATGTGTTTTTTTTTAAATCGAACATAGGGAAATTACATTGCATGCAAACTCCTATGTTCGCATTAAAAAAAAACTCACTGTAGGTAGTGATGCTAAGTAATACCATTGTATTTATAAACGACAAACAATTTGAAAGCCATAATTAACAAAAAAAAACACTTTCATGTACTTTTTTGCGCGATCGGTCATTTCTGGCTATTTACCATGTGTGTTTCCATGACAGTACGTAGAATTTACCAGTTGCTATGATTACGACGACGCCAAAATTACTTACCGATCTAAAAACAGAACAGCAAAAATACTTACCGACGCCTTTTTAAAAATCAACAGTCTTACATTACATTTAATCTTTAATTATTGTTAGGTACATTAAACGTACAATTTGTGCTGTTGTTTCCTATAGAAAGACGCTCATAAAGTCATAAAGGAAGTGCAAAGCTAGCAACCTACATCAGACACATGTACAATTTTATGAAATTATTAATTTCAATTTTGACAAATAAACTGGTTACCTAGTGATGTACACCATACCACTTCGATCATTTCGATTTATTCTGCTCGTTAATTTCTTAGTGCATATTTATATTGGTTACATAATTTTAATTTCGATCGCGCAAAAAATTTTATAAGCACGTCGAACGTTAAGGGTTACCGTTCTCAGACAATAATTGGAGTCGTCGCTTCGCTCCTCCTCCAAACAATTGTCTTCGAACGGTAAAAATCCCTTACCGTTCTCCATACTTAATATACTAATTAGAATTAGACTACAAGAGCAACATAACTTTATCGATTTTTTTTCAAATTTTTATTACTTATAAACACTAAATGAA